ACAGTGACCCCTGTGTGTCCATAAGGGACAGTGACCCCTGTGTGTCCCCAAGGGACAGTGACCCCTGTGTGTCCCCAGGTACAGTGACCCCTGTGTGTCCATAAGGAACAGTGACCCCTGTGTGTCCATAAGGGACAGTGACCCCTGTGTGTCCCCAAGGCCTGCCAACCCCTCCCACAGCTCCAGCCACTTCCTTTGGCCTCTGCAGCCTCTCCGGGCCCCAGCTGTGCCCAGGGGAAATCTTGGAGCAGCTCCCATCTGCCCTGGAGCAGGGCTGGGCAGCATTCCAGGGTGTCTCATCCTGGAGGTGTCACTGCCAGAGGGTCTGGCAGCCCCTGGGACATGGGCATGGATGAGATGGATGAGGGAAGCGGGGTGGGCCAGGCACGTGCCATAAATCACCTGAGAGGCTCCTGGGAGCCCAAATCCCTTCCCATCCCAGGCAGCTCCTCTGCCCCGAGTCATTCCCCAAGGGAGACCTCCAGGAGGTTCCCACTGATCCCAGCCCTGGAGCTGGTGCTGGACAAGCCCAGCCTGAGCATTCCAAAGGGTTGGATTTTGGCTGTCTGGGCTTGAGCTTCTCCTCTTCCCAGAGGGAATGTGAGGCTGGAGCAGCTCCCAGTGCCAAAGCAAAGCCATGGAGCTGGACAGACAACTCCTCCTCACCTGGCATGGAATGAGCTGGGGGCCGGGACAGCCCTGGCTCCACTGAACCCATCTCGGGCTGAGCCAGAACCTTCTCCTGCTTCCTCTGGGCCACAGCAGGGGCTCAGCTTTGCTCCCAGTTCTGGTGAAATTCCCCCTGTGACTCCCACGGATTAACATATTTAAATTGTGCTTGTTAATTAGAATCATGGAGTATCCTAAGGAGGAAGGGGTACACCAGGGTCATCCAGCCCATCTCCTGGTCCTGCCCAGGACATCCCAACAATCCCTTGTGCCTGGGCATTGTCCCAGTGCTCCTGGAGCTCCGGCAGCCCTGGGGAGCTGTTCCAGTGGAGGAAGAACCTTTTCCCAATATCCAACCCAAACCTCCTCTGACACAGATCCCCCAGCTGTTCCCTCAGTCAAATTAAACCTGTGTCTGGCTCTTGGAATATTTGGTGTTTCTTCCAGTGGGATCAGCTGTGTTTGGGTAAATAAATCCATTCTGGGGGTGCTCCAAAGCACGAGAGTGCTGAGACTGGGACATGTGGCTTCCCCAGCCCTGGCAGTGCCCAAGGCCAGGTTGGACAGGGCTTGGAGCAGCCTGGGACAGTGGGAGGTGTCCCTGCTCATGGCAAGGGTGGGATTGGATGGGCTTTAAGGTCCCTTTCCACCCAAACCATTCCAGGATTTCCACAGGACATTACTGGGGCCAAGTGTTGCTTGCAGTAAGGAGCACCTGATGGAGAATTTAAATGGATACAAAGGGAGGAGAGGAGCTGAGGCCCCGTGTCCTGTTCCGTGCCACAGAAACGTTCCCAAGGAACTGTAGAAGTTGGAAGTGGTGCAAATCCAGCCTGGGCTTTTAGGGCATTTCCCAACTTTCCCCCTCCACCTGGGAGCCAAGTCCCTTGGGAGTGAAGTCCTGCATAGCCCATTCTGTGCAGCTCTGACGGCTGTGTCTGTGTGTCCCTGTCTGTGTGTCTGTGTCCATGTGTCCGTGTGTCCCTGTCCATGTGTCTGTGTCCCTGTGTCCCTGTGCATGTGTCTTTATCTGTCTGTCCCTGTCCATGTGTCTGTGTCTGTGTGTCCGTGTGTCCCTGTCCATGTGTCTGTGTCCCTGTCCATGTCCGTGTGTCCATGTGTCCATGTGTCCCTTTGTCCCTGTCCATGTGTCCCTTTCCATGTCCGTGTGTCCATGTCCATGTGTCTGTGTCTCTGTCCATGTCCATGTGTCCCTGTCCATGTCCGTGTGTCCATATCCATGTGTCCATGTCCATGTCTGTGTGTCCCTGTGTCTGTGTGTCCCTGTCCATGTCCGTGTGTCTGTATCCATGTGTCCCTGTCCCTGTACATGTATTCACATCTGTGTCTGTGTCAATGTCCCCATCCCTGTGTCTCTGTCCCTGTGTCCCTGTGTCCCCATCCCTGTCCCTGTGTCCCTGTCCCTGTCCCTGTGTCCCTGTGTCCCCATCCCTGTCCCTGTGTCCCTGTCCCTGTGTCCCTGTGTCCCCATCCCTGTCCCTGTGTCCCTGTCCCTGCGTCCCTGTCCCTGTCCCTGTCCTTGTGTCCGTGCCCCTGTGTCCCCATCCCTGTGTCCCCATCCCTGTCCCTGTGTCCCTGTCCCTGTGTCTCCATCCCTGTCCCTGTGTCCCTGTCCCTGTGTCCCTGTCCCTGTGTCCCCATCCCTGTCCCTGCATCCCTGTCCCTGTCCCTGTCCCTGTCCTTGTGTCCGTGCCCCTGTGTCCCCATCCCTGTGTCCCCATCCCTGTCCCTGTGTCACTGTCCCTGTGTCCCCATCCCTGTCCCTGTGTCCCTGTCCCTGTGTCCCCGTCCCTGTGTCCCCATCCCTGTCCCTGTGTCCCTGTCCTTCAGGTCCCGTGGCTCCACGCGATCTACGCTCTGCTCGGGGCTGGGATCTTCACCATGGTGAGTGGCTGCTCCTGGGATCCGGCAGGGAAAACAGGGAGCAGGGAAGGAGCTTGGAGCGGGCAGGGAGCGGGCAGGGAGCTGGGCAGAGCCGGGCAGGGATGGCAGAGATCAGGCAGGGAGCTGGGCAGGGAACCGGGCAGAGCCGGGCAGGGATGGCAGGGAGCGGGCAGGGAGCGGGCAGGGAGCTGGGCAGGGAGCTGGGCAGGGAGCCGGGCAGAGCCGGGCAGGGATGGCAGAGATCAGGCAGGGAGCGGGCAGGGAGCTGGGCAGAGCCGGGCAGGGATGGCAGGGAGCGGGCAGGGAGCTGGGCAGAGCCGGGCAGGGATGGCAGGGAGCG